TTACTAATTCTGTAGAAAATTGTGAGCCTTTTAAAAATATTTATAACAATTGCAAATATTTATAACATTGAAGGAATTTAAGATGAGCGAAGTCTCATTAAACAGGTAACCTAAAAGGAATGAAATATTTTATGTCAGAATATGACTTTCATTTCAGTTTGTCAACCATAAATTAATTAAATGTCAGTGTAAATTTCTCAAGTTTAAAAAAAAAAAAAAAAAAAACAGGAAATTATATTTGTGTTCTACTCTAAGCTTTAGTAGTCTTATGCTTGTAAAAATGATTTGAACAAAAATAAACGTGCCCTGGTAGATAGCAGGCTGGGTTTCAAAACCAGGCTAGTCGGTTTTGTTTGGTTTGTAACTCTATTGTAATTTTGTGCACACTTTGGGATAAATAGACCGGGACATGCAATTTAACGGGTATTCCGAACCACTAACAATCATCCATACCACCACCAGGATTCAAACCTGAAGCCTATGTTACCAAAACCCAGAGCGCTAGCCAAATGGCCATCAGGCCGTCCTAGAAAAGACGGACAGTTGACAAGCTCTTATGTCTGTAATAGATGTAGCCAAGTTAAATCACTAGATTAGAAAATCTTCTCTATAGACTTCAAGGGGATCGTGCAAAAATAGATGAATTTATTAAGAATGTTTGTTCAAAATTGTGCTATAGTGTGTTGGTGCAATGCTGCAGGTTACCCGTGATATATCCTAAAACAATGAATGATGATAATAATGAAAAAAAATACAGTAAAGGCATGTAATGAAAGACATGCATGGCATAAAGAATGTAATGAATATAAGCACTATAATAAGTTTGAAGACGTTTTTTTTTTTTTTGTAATAGCTAAAACAAACTTAATTGTTTATATTCCAAAATAATGGTTCAAAAGATTTTAATTTCTCTATAAAAATTATGATTAGAAAACAAATTTTGTTCAAATCTAAAAGTAACATGTCTACTGAAAATTATGAGCTTGACTAAAAATTTTATAACAATTGTTACATATAGCTTCATTTCATAAATAGACATGTCAGAATATGACTTTTTTTTACTTCAGTTTTCAACCATAAATTAATTAAACTCGAATATTAATTTCTTAATTTTAATAAAACAAGAAGTATATTTAAATAAGATTTGTAAGCTTTAATAAATGTATGCTTGCAATATACATATTGAAAAAAATATTTGAAAAGATATAAAAGTGCCATGGTAGATAACAGGCTGTATTTCCAAATTAGGGTAGCCTAAGTTCGATAGTCTATAAACTCTCATGTTACGTTACACGTTAAATCCCTACATCAGAAAATCTTCTCTTTAGCATTGAAGAGACCCTGCAAAAACAGATGAATTTATTAAGAATAGTCATTTAAAGTTGTGGCCTAGTGAGTTGGTTCAGTAGTGCAGGCTTCTCTATATACTATATTCTAAACAACGCTGAATTTGCTGCAACTATAAATTTATAGAGGGAAATTATCTTAAGTCAAAATACTCAGAATTCTAAACGAACATCTTTTCAAAGAGTGCGCAAGCCGTGATTTTAATTTTTTGTAACTGGAAAGGCATTTTATGTAATAAAAAAATAAACAAATTTAGAGATTATTTTTATAACAGAAAAATAATCATGCTTTAATTTTTACAAGGTTTTATTAGAAACTAGCTGAACTCGGCATATGCTATGCTGTTCTACTTGTTCCAATATATATGCATACTCATTTTCATGGATATCGTTCGAACAGTATATAAGATGAAATGCTGCAGCAGCATCTGGTGGCAAGTAACAATAAAGTGGATAGTGTTAACGTATTTTCCTTATCCGAATATATATTATTACCAATTTTCATAGTTATTGGTTGAATGGTATAGAAGTAGATGTACTGCGGCACCATATGGTCGCAAATTATAACAAAGGCGATAGCATAAAAAGCATTCTCCATATTTCATCAAACACACACAAAATTCAACAAAATCGGTGAACAAGAACAAATACAGAAGAACCCAATTGCAGCGCCATCTGCCAGATTCAGTTGTAAATCTAAACCATCCAGTGACCCACTAAAGGCTCGTTCCCACCGAGGCGAGAGACGTGAAAATGCAAGAGGCAAGCGACCAAATTTTTTCGACCCTTTCACAGCGAAACGTCAGAAATAGCATTACGCCTAGTGAAAAACCGTTCGAGTTGAAAGTTGGGCAACTCCAAGCGGAGGACTGCAAACCGGTTTCAGGCGACCGCGGTGAGGTCAAATTTTGGTCGCTTGCATCTTGTCGCCTTGGTGAGCAACGAGCCTTAAAGCACACACAAAAAATTTCACCAAAATCGGTCCAGCTCTTTAGGAGGAGTTCAGTGACAAACACACGTATAGACAAACACGATTGCCGCGCCACCTACTGGGTTCAATTGTGAATTTAAACCATACAGTGACATATTGAAGCACACACAAAAACCTTATCAAAATCGGTTCAGTTGCTTAGGAGGAGTTCAGTGACAAACACATGTACAGAAGAATTATACGTTTAAAAATTGAATAAATTTTTATATTAAAATAATATAATTTTATACATATTAATAAAATTATAATTATTATCATATATCTCACTAAATACTCTATCAGATTATTTCTTTCTTTCAAATCACTTCTTTTGAATGTCAGCAAAAATTCGGTTTGGCCTTTCTTATATTTAACCTAAAATAATTGTTATTGTCTGGATTTTCTTTTCTAAATTTCCCATTGAAGAACCAATTATAAGCTATCATTATTTAATTGATAAATTACATTCTCTTTCTTCTCCAAAATTCAATTGCCGAAAATAATTGAGATCCTCACAGAAATGCGACAGTTTTGAGTGAAAACAAATATTTCCACGGCTAATTCGAGTTGACGCTTGTAGCAGACGAATTAATTAAACATATTTTTGGAATCCCCCACAATTAGCACAATGGTATGACTTTCCGATAAAAGACACAAATGAGTATAAAAGATGGCTTAAAATTAATTTCTGACAGCCAGCGAATGGCAATTCGGGAAAATTAATTAACTCGTCTGCCTGCTCCAGTCCCTGTCAAGAGAGAAAATCCATTCTATCCGGATTTCATTGTCTGGGTTGTAACGGAGTTGTCATGCAAAAACGGGAGAAAAAAATGACATGTTTGATTATGTAATCAAAAAATAATAATAATCTTAAATAATTTAATTAACTTGAAAAAAAGATACTTTTTAATGTGTTGGATTAATTGTCATGTAAAAATTTGATTATTCTGACACACTAATTTACTTATAAAATTATGGGCAGGAATATATAAGTTCTGCTTTTGCATTAGAATAATAATTTTAAAAATTATATTGTTTGTAATATCCAAAGAAAATGTACTTTTGTTGTTAAGGCTAGATAATTAATTAAGTATAAATAAATCCTATTGTTGTTATAAATTAAATGTTTAAAAATAGAGATTTTGACATCTTTCAAAATGCGTTTTTTTTTCATAATATTTATTTATATCTAGCATATTCTATACGTATTTACATAAATATATTTTTACATACATTTGCCCATGTTATTTTTTATGTATTTCTTATCCCACTTGGTAGACAGCAACATCTAGCTAGACCAAGTCCAAGAACCCTGGTGGTGTCATATCCATGAGGGTAAAGATGGGGGGGGTTGCTGTTTTTGATGGAGCAATAGTAGGTAGAAGTCTGACTTAGCTTCGAGATGCTGAAGAAGAAAGGCAGAGCCTTCCGGGAGGACTTTTAGTGGGAAATGCCACGAAATTGCGTATCGTATGGGGGAAAGAAAACACGTAACATTCTCCCACCACGTATTCCGATTAACGAGGCAAGATGCTGAACATCACAAACACCATTGAGTCTCTTCATTTTCTGAAACAGTGCCTACAACAAAGCCGCCAAAGCCTTTCGTAGTCCAATGTCTATGTATGTGACAAATTCGATAGCTTCAGGTTGAAACTGTGAACTGTATAAAGTAAAAACCAACAGATTTTTATATCTATATATAAGATATCAAAATAGTAATGCACATAAGCCATATGACATATGTTTCAGAACCTATTGGTATAGAGCCATAGAGATTGTTCCTCAAGGTGTTGCAGACGAATGAATAAAATTTAATGCTATGCTAAGATATTATTTTTTAAAAAATAAGGCCGAATAACCAAATTCTATCAACGATTTTTCACAAAAGGTTTTTAAAACAAAGAATATGTACCTGGAATGCATAGTAAGTTTCCTGAAAGTTTTCTGAGTTTTGTTTCATGCCACACATAAATTCATGGCAGTTATTCCTTAATGTGCTCCTAGAAGGCTATGTCTTCACTCATTACTTATTAAAGGCCAGTACGTGGCATATATGATTTGAACATACTACCAAACCAAAGTTCAACACAAAAGTTAATATTCTAAGATCATAAATTATAAACTATATGCGTCAGTACAAAATTTATTACTTATTATTTACTCTTAAAACATAAATTAAATCTTGCGTGTCTTATGCAATGTATATTATAGATAATAACATTTAGTGACATTTCTACGATACTTTAAGTGTTCTTTTGATATACTAAGATTTTTGTCATGCACTTGATAAATAACGTTATATAAAAATATATGTCTGTGAGATAAATATAAGTGTAAACAGCAAAAAGAGAAAAATATATTTAAAAATGTAATAAATAAAAATTTATTATATACAGAAAAAGAGATACAATCTTTTATGGGAAAATAATTCTGAAATAAATATTAAAATTCTGTTTTCTGCCGTAGTAGGGAAATTTAAATTTTTATAGTTAAGTATATTTGAAAATAATTCGATGCAAACTATAAAAATATTACTCTTTTAAATTTAGTATTTTATCGTTGAAATAATAAATTTTTATGTTTAATATATTTAGATATCAATTTGAAAAAAGAAAACTAAATTACTCTAAAATTTCTCTTATATATATATTGAATATAACGTAATAAAAGTATCTGTGCCAACGTCCGTACCATGCTGAATATACCGGTTCTCGTTAGATCACCGAATTTAAAAATCATTGGGCGCGGTCAGTATTTATTGGTGACCACCTGGGAACACTGCGTGCCGTTGGCAAATTTGGGACCTGAATGGCCGAGTGTCTAGCGCTCTGGCCCTCGGTGCCCCAGGTTTTCGGGTTCGAATCCCGGCGGTGCCATGGATGTTTGTAAATCCATTTTTAAGCCGTAGGTCCCGGTCTTCTATGACTGTAAGAGCGTCACGGAGCAAAAGTCAGGCTTCTACCTACGGGTGCTCCATCACAACAGAAGCTGCTTCCTTCCCCTTCAATCATGAGTCCATATGGGCTTGTGGGCTTGGCCAGCCAAGTGGGATAAGAAACAAAACAACATAAAAGTATCTTTGTTTGATGTCGATATTTTTTTTATAATTTTAACCCTGGCATAAATTGATGATTTTGAAATGTTTATTTATTTATAAAAACAAATGTTTATTTATTTAACTAAACTTTTATTAAAAGTATTATTTATAAAATATTAGAAAATAATTCTTTATTTAAAAGAATTGAAAAAGAATTATTAATTCTTTTCCGAGGCTAGTTTTCAAAAGAACCCATTTTTTAAAAAAGTTTTTTATAACTTGGGATGTTTTCAATCATTTTACTCCCATCTACCCTTTACAATCATCATTAATCTTCGGCTTTCTTTATCATTAATCTTATGTTGGAATCCAGTAAATATAAACTATATGAAAAAATTTATTACTTATTATTTACTCTTAAAACATAAATTAAATCTTGATGTAAATGAAGCGAAAATAAATATGAATATATATTGCAAATTATATTTTCTTTTGATTTATAAATTTAATGGAAAAAGATAACAAAACATTCTCAGTAAAAATGTTTAAATTTTCTTAACCTTTAGTCGGCAAAAGTTATGATATATATCTTTCTTTTAAAAAAGATTTTAAAACTTTATTATATACAGAAAAATAGATTTATCAGCTCTTTTTTATTTGTAGTATGCTCAGTGTTTCAAAAATAAAAATTATTTAGTTTTTGAGTTAGTTTTCAATGATTTTTTTTTCTTTTCATGAATTCTTTTTGAAAATAAATCGATGCAAACTATAAAAATATTACTGTTTTAAATTTAGTATTTTATTGTTGAAATAATAAATTTTTATGTTTAATATATTTAGATATCAATTTGAATATATATATATATTGAATATAACCTAATAAAACTATCTTTGTTTGATGTCGATGTTTTTTTATAATTTTAACCCTGACATAAATGATGAATGCTTTATTTTTATTTTCCCTTATTACACCGCTGTGTTCGAATCCGTCAGATTTAGTAGCTGCTAATTTTTTACACAATAGTTGGCCATACTGCAGTAGCAAAATATTTTATATTTCTATTTAAAAAGTGTAAAATAATTCAGCAATAAATTAAATCAAGGATATACACCAACACAAAGTTAATTTAAAGTTAGATTTTGTGTATTTCATTTACATTTTTAAATTCCTACTTCAGATCATTGTTTTTTATTTTGAAAAATACTACTTCAGTTTTAATAGCACATTAAAATTTAATGAATTTTATACTAGATTTAAAAATTTTATCAATTCAATAAAAGCTCTTTAAAAAAATGTAACTTTGCGAGGAAAAAGAATCTATAGAAAAACAAATGTCAATTTACCATTCCTTCTTAAACTAAATATTTTAATGCATAAGCAGTTTGAATGCGTATCTTAAATACAATCCCACAAAGCAACAGCGATCTGTTTTTTTTACGAATTGAAAAAGCATTTGAATCGATTTCGATATTTTATCATGGTAATCGACTTTCGATTTTGAATTCCCACAGCGTATATTTTAAACAGTATTGCTTCCACAGATACGTTTTCCATCTCCTTGGAAGCCATTGAGTTAAATGGTTCTTTTCAAATACTGAATTTTTTTATGAGGAAATAAAAGATTTCCATCTCATCATTCAAGTACAGATATTTTGATATTTCAAATGCTTTTCTAGTCATCTGTTTTTATATTTGCGTTATTTTATATAAAATTCAAATCTATGGTATCATAAATCAAAATCTATGTGGAAACAAATTCTTTGGTTTAAAAGGAAAGAAATGGAACCACCTTCAAAATAAGCATTGAAGAATCAGAAAGCAGAAGGGAAACCGCATTTAGAGTACAAAGATAACACAACTGATACGGAAGAACCAGAAAGCATTCGAAAAAAAAAAATATATTAATACGAAGATAAGTGAAAGGGCAAAGAAAATGTTTGCCTGATGATTTACAAAGGATAAAAAAACGCTTTAGAATTCAAAGTTAATTAAAGGAGTTAAGATAAGGAGTTTTTCTTGATGAACCGAAAAGCATAAAAAATTGCATTAAAAGACAACAATGAGTAAAGCTTAGACAATATCATACTACGAATCAGAGTGCAAAAAAAAAAAAATCTCATTGAAAGTATAAGTAATCAGTCTCAAGCATTAAATCTGAGACTAACCAGCAAGCATAAGAAAAAGCACATTAACAATGCAAAGATAAAGGAATGTAATGAATTGTAATCGCCAAATTTGTGCATCCTGGATTGTTTATTTTAATTTCAAAGTTGTGATTCTAGATGAAAGGTGATGAGGGGATATTGCGGTCTCTTGTTTAATCATGTATTATCTCACAGATCCATATTGGTGCAGCGTGGTTTGGCAAGTATGCAGATTGTGAGCATAAACATTAATTACCATATCTAAGCCTCCTGGACAAATTTTTAATTCCAAAATTAAAATTGTAGATGCAGGGACAGTGGTGCTAATAGATGGAAGCAATAACGAATATTGCATATGAGGCAACATATTTAGACAGTTGATATTGGTGTCTTTTGCACCACAATGCACCATTCAAATTCTAAGTATAAATTGAAAATGAATACTTTTATGTCTTCAAATTATATGTTTCTTTAATTTTTAAACAAATATTTATAATCACTTTGTTATTATATGTTTTTTTATAATTCCTAGTTTAAATAATTTTGAAACTTCTGAAATATTTTCACCAAACGTGCCTTCAATTACATAATAAAAACGAGTTGTTCCCTAAAATTTATACTGTACGAATACATTTCTACACTCACTGTATGTAGCTCAAAAATGAAATAAAAATATTTTAAAGGTTGATTTAAAATTTGGCTGAATTTAAAGACAAATGTAGTTAATTTATATAAATATAACATAAATTAATTGATATAAATTTTTCTTGCAACACTTCTTAAAAATATCATTCCACATTCATAATTCAATATATCATTCCACATTCATAATTCAATATATCATTCCACATTCATAATTCAATATATCATTCCACATTCATAATTCAATATATCATTCCACATTCATAATTCAATATATCATTCCACATTCATAATTCAATATATCATTCCACATTCATAATTCAATATATCATTCCACATTCATAATTCAATATATCATTCCACATTCATAATTCAATATATCATTCCACATTCATAATTCAATATATCATTCCACATTCATAATTCAATATATCATTCCACATTCATAATTCAATATATCATTCCACACATTATATCATAATTCAAATAATATATCATTCCACATTCATAATTCAATATCATTCCACATTCATAATTCAATATATCATTCCAATTCATAATTCAATATATCATTCCACATTCATAATTCAATATATCATTCCACATTCATAATTCAATATATCATTCCACATTCATAATTCAATATATCATTCCACATTCATAATTCAATATATCATTCCACATTCATAATTCAATATATCATTCCACATTCATAATTCAATATATCATTCCACATTCATAATTCAATATATCATTCCACATTCATAATTCAATATATCATTCCACATTCATAATTCAATATATCATTCCACATTCATAATTCAATATATCATTCCACATTCATAATTCAATATATCATTCCACATTCATAATTCAATATATCATTCCATATAAAATATTTTGTATTTTGTGAAAAACACTTATCCATTAATTAATTTGCATGCTTGTTAATTTAACATTAGTCTGCCATTTTAAGCATATTTTGTAAACCAAAGGTAAACAAATTTGTAGATATTTCCCAAAAATGCATTTTTGGCTATTATTCATAAAAGCTTTGCTAAACCAGAATCTGCCAATCCTGTAGTTGACAATACACTTTAAAGAAACAATTCCCAACCAGTAAAAATATATTAGATATTTTGTTCTATGTCATATGTCTTTCAAAGTAAAGATTAAAGGATTTTAATAGGATATTTGGGTAATAATAAACTTCTTCAAAATGTTCCAAGGACAGTAAAAGCGCTTAATATTTCAGTTGTACTATTCCGTATCCAAATTAAAAAAAAAAAAAAAAAATAAAAATTTGAAACTTCATACAATAATATTTATAAGTATTTTTCTTTTTGTTTTAATCATTTTAAAATGCAGGGCAGGAAAAAAAATCCATTTAAAAACGCATTTGCCAAGAACGAAATCTTCAGTTTTAACAAGAACTCCCTTTCTTTTGCATTCGAGAAATCCATTATTATTCACGTGAAGAATTTTTATTTAATCTCGTTCTAAAAATACTTGAGCAATATGCAATATCTATGGAAAAAAAAAGGTTCTTATTTTTATCGGGTAAAAAAAGTTAAGTAAAGTAGTAATTGAAAATTTATTTTCGATTTTCAATCACAACGGTATGCGAAATGGGAATCCGTAGATATTTTTTAACAGAACTTTTGAGATTTTAAATGAAATCAAATATTTCCTTTTTCACTATGTCAAAAGTAAACAAAAATTTGTTTTGATTGTTAGCTTCTTTTTTAGAAATAACACATAATGATTCGTTTATTAAATCTAAACATTGCCTTGCATTTTCCAAATTTAATGGATATAAAAATCATTGAATGATTTCTTTCAGACGAACATTATTCGTGAAGTACTCACTAAAAGGACATTAAAAGAAGATTTTCTCAATGAAAATTAATATTAAAAATCACATTGGTTACCTTGAATTTTTACGAAAATCTTGAAAATTATTTAA